ATCTCATTGTTTGTACGAATTATACGGAGAAAACATATAATTATACAGCATTACTGTATCTCTATAAATATTTTGCTCTACACTGCACTGGTAGCTACAAATGGATGTCTTTAATTACAGTTAATTAAAATACTTTTGAACATTATACTATAGTCATTTATTTTAGTTATAACTGTTTAGTAAAATAAGATTCATTATTGAATCAAGTTATAAATTTTTTATAAGAAGTTATTTTAATAAATAAAACATATTTAACACTTATTTTTACACTCAATTTATAAACATTTATGCGATAATTACTGTATATTCATAACCACATTGATTAAAGATTGAGATTAGATAACAGTATACAATTAAAAAGGCTTAAAAATAATTTTTATTAAAAAAATTAAATTATATTTATACCCTTAATTAAATAGTGTATTAAATTGGGGGTTAAAATAAATGTTCATTTAAATGATACAAAAAAATAAATTCTGAAAAACTATTTGTGAGTATTTCGTAACAAACAATAATAAACAGAATATTCTGCATTACGTTTAATGCCAAACATTCAAACAGAATATCTATTTATAAACGAAAATAATTTAAACATATGTTTATATAAACTAATAATTAATTCATGTTTGTCTCCCACAAAACCACGTGACTCTACCCCACACGCTATGGTCAGGGGTCTAACCCATGGCGCTGCCGGTGATCCGTGCGCTTTCACGGTGTACACGAAGGGTGCCGGTGCCGGGAACCTACAGGTGGCAGTGGAGGGGCCCTCCAAAGCGGACATACAGTGCAAGGACAACAAGGACGGCACTATAAGCGTGTCGTACTTACCGCCGGCACCGGGCGAATACAAAATCAACATCCGGTTTGGCGATCGGCCCATTAAGGGGTCGCCCTATTCGGCCAAAATCACGGGTGAGGGCCGGAAGCGGAACCAGTTATCGGTGGGCCACTCGTCCGAAGTGTCCCTCAAAGTCCAGGAAAAGGATTTCAAACTTTTGAACGCCTCTATAGTGGCGCCCTCTGGACTCGAAGAACCTTGCTTCTTGAAAAAGCTGGCCAACGGGCACCTGGGTATCTCGTTTACGCCCAGGGAGACCGGCGAGCACCTGGTTAATGTCAAGAAACTGGGCACTCATATAACCGGCAGTCCCTTTAAGATCAATGTACTCGAGAGGGAGATCGGCGACGCCTCCAAGGTTAAGGTCACCGGAAAGGGAGTAAAGGTTAGTAGGACCTTTTTTAGCAGGGTTATATTAGATATTCTGGTTTATGAATACCCATTATTTCCATAGGAGGCTAAAACACACACTACTAATGAGCTGCTAATCGACACGAAAGAGGCCGGCTATGGGGGTCTCTCCCTGTCCATTGAGGGTCCGTCCAAAGCGGAGATACAATGTAAAGAAGAGGGTGGAGAGGGGGCCCTCCGTGTGACGTATAAGCCAACTGAGCCGGGATTCTACATAATAAACCTGAAGTTCGCTGACCATCACGTGCCGGGCAGTCCGTTCACTGTGAAGGTGACGGGCGAGGGCTCTAACATACAGCGCGAGAATATCAAGAAGGAAA